TCACACGCCTCCGGGAGCAGTGTAAGTTGATTTGCGTGACTGGTGATGTCTGCCACGGCAATGCCTGCTGATTGCCGCTAGGCGGGGTGCATGTGCATCGTTCCCATTAGGTATGTTCGACACGGCTTGTGTTGGCGGTTATGGTCGGACTACTATCGCGATCGGTTTGGTCGGCTGGTGTCGATCGTCAGGTTTTTGCAACTATTTCATCGAAAATGTATGTGAAGTAAAGGTCGACGCATATGAAAGGTTTCTTCAAATGTCGACGGCTAATAACTTTATTACAGTTTGTTTTCATTTTCTGCTGAGACCTCGTAGCAAAACAACGCAACTTGCTGCAGTTTCTATATAGCTTAAATATCGCTGAATAATACCAAAACACTCCCAAAATGGTACAAAACTAGACCATGCCCAACCATAGATATGAATCGTGTTATTAAAGAAATACAGCATACAGAAGAAAAAAGGCAGAAGAAAAACTCAAGCAAACACGAAACGACCGCGGAGCATTCAAAGTGTAACTAACTCGATCAGTTACACTAAGCTGGTCATGATACCGCAGTTTTCACTTTCTTTGGTTATTTTTCCTGTGAAACAATCATTAGAAACATTCTTTAAATGTAGATAATTCCGAGCCTCTGTTTGTAACGTCCGACATGAACTTGAGCTCCAGAAGGTTGGTGGAGGAGCCAAACTCGCTGTTGGGGGGCCAAATTGAATATTGGGGGGGGGGGCAGTGACTCACCCAAAATAATACAATTCGACATCCGTGACTTCAAATATGAGCTGATGATTGAATAGTTTTGTTCTGAATCTGAGTTTGAGCCAAAATTCCAGGGTTCCGGAATCACGGATTTCGAGGATAAGTCACATTTGGTAAGGTTTGTGTCCAAGTCCAATCTCGATTCAGTTACTTTTTAACACGTGCTTGGGTGGAGATACGTCAATTGGCCCCCGGAAAGTTTTCCAAACTAATTTTTGAACGTAGCGGCGTAGCCGCACCGCACTGCACAGCTGTAAGCAATTGGATAGCGTATGTTTTGGCTTAAAAACTAAATGTACCTTGTATACTTTGTCACATCGCTGATGCATGGCAGATCAAAATCAGGTCGTGGCTATCAGCGACGGCAGTTTCTATAAAATTGTTCAATCTGGTGTGGCAATGGGGTACCAGACAAAAGCACACATCTCTGAAATAGTTTCTTAGACAACGCTTCAACCGAATTCAAAATTACAACAAATTCCATTAGCCTACGGTCAGGCATTAACGTCAAGCTGGGGCCAAAACAAGCCTCATTTTTATCGCAGAACCAGCGTAAAGGGTGGCTTATGATGCTTATTTATAATTTATTGATAACAGGGACCGCAACATACATCTTTTATGGACGTCTTACAGGTCAAGGAAGCCTATTGACCTTAAACGACCCAAACCAGTCCCTTTGTTTTTAGGAACGTACCACCCAGCGTAAACCTAAAAAAAAACCCAATTCAAAAATCAAAACCATCTCTTAGGTGTTCGGTCACTACGATATTATGAAGGTAAAAAGGTCACTGACCTTAAGTAAACACCAGTGATCTTTTCCTTAAAACAGGTATTTGGGTTCAAGGCTGTTGCATGAGGGGGTCTGGGGCACATTACACACAGATTTAGATTTTTACGTTATTTGACCTTATTTGACCCAAAGGCCAATCTATGAGATTTAATTTTGAAACAAATGAGCTCACACGCAGACCAGCCAACCCTGTGATTTTGCTGTGTCTGGCTCTCCTTATCTTTGAGGGGTCTAGGGTCATCTGTATATAGTAGTTCATCATATGATATCAGGAGTTGAAATAGACTCACACCGAGCGCAGGGTATCAAACCGACCACCGGGCGCGCGTTAGTTGGCGAGTGCCAGTCTGAGTGTTTCAACTGGTACCTATTTGTGTTTGTTATATGGCTATATGTATATATATATATATATATAGTGTGTGTGGTGTGGTGTGGTGGTGTGTGTGTGTGGTGTGTGTGTGTGTGTTGTGTGTGTGTGTGTGTGTTGTGTGTGTGTGGTGTGTGTGGTGTGTGTGTGTTGTGTGTGTGTTGTGTTGTGTGTGTGTGTGTGTGGTGTGTGTTGTGTGTGTGTTGTGTGTGTGTGTGTGGTGGTGTGGTGTGTGTGTGTGTGTGTGTGTGTGTGTGTGTGTGTGTTGTGTGGGTGTGTGTGTGTGTGTGTGTGGTGGGTGTGTGTGTGTGTGTGTGGTGTGTGTGTGTGTGTGTGTGTGTGTGTTGTTGTGTGTGTGTGTGTGTGT